CCCCAAAACCCCAAAACCCCGTTAAGCTTTTATCGTTAAGGAAACTGACGAAAAGTAAATAATTAAGAATACTGGTAGTGCTTATAATAACATTAATCTTATATTTTGTAAAAATAAGATAGTAAATATTAAATCACTTGCTAAAACTTAAGGTCTAATAAATATGAATAAGACAGAAAAAATGTTTTATAGCATCTGTTCTAAAACCAATTAATCATTTGAGCTAAAAGACAGTTACTCGTCCCTTAATGCTTCAGAATTTCCAAAAAATAAAGTTAGAAATTCAGTTATAAGAATAATTATTGCGAACATTTTATTTCTTATGATTTAAATGCATATCTGTGAGCATGAAAGTATAAATGAATGCATTAAGCATTTCCATCTGCCTGCTCTCTACTATTATATCCCAATTTGCCTTTTAAGCTTTATTCTTTTTCTTAATGAGCTTAAAATAGTATTAACTGATTACTAGAAAAATTGAGATGATTATAGTATGAGAGTCTTACTATTTTTGGGGCTAAACATAACAGTTTTGGTATATGGCTTTTCTGAGATAAATCCGGCCAGATTCGGAGGAGTTTATTGTTACATATTTCTGTTCTTTAGTGGAGTGTACTTTTTAATTAAAATCCTTAAATATGTAACTTAAAGGATGTGCTACTAGATTGGTAAACCTAGGACAGTCTTAATTATATCATTGCTGCTGTTGTTAGCCATTCGGTATATTTTTTTCAATAGAATATACAATAGCTGTGCAAATTGGAAAAAAGGCATATCTTAGCAAATAGATGAAAGTAGTAGTGAAACATGCAATTTACACGATCTGTAATACTGTCCTCTTGAAATAACTGACGACATTGTTGATTTATCAGCAGTTTTTAAGATGTTTTAATGTGAAAATTGGGATTATAGAGAATAGTTAATTCGTAAGTACTACCATACTGACAAAGCATACCTTGCTCACCCTCTGACCAAATTATTCGGAGAACATTAGAGACACATTAATTATTTAGCTTCTTGGACTCTAAATTAATCTGTTGGATATGATACATTAGATGAAGCTATTCAATAAAAGCATGAAGTTATCATAGACACAAAGAATGGAATAATGCATACAAGTCTTTAGAGAAATCAGACATTAGTTGAAGAAAGAAGACAACTAAGAAAAAATCAAAATAGAGGTGATCTTTAGTAGCATATGCTATTAGTTTTTATTGACACATTATCCAGGCCAAGATTTCATGCAAAAATGAAAGAAACAGTTTCCTTTTTAAGAGAGAGGGATCACAAGGAATTTATGAGATTTCATTCAATTTATGGAAGAACTTAGGAAAATGCAATAGCATTTTTGTATGGCAAAGTATTAGAAGATTTCCTTAACTCCACATATGATCCCAAAGATGGAGAAACTTTTAAATGGAAAAAGTCAGATGAAAAATGGGACTCTATATATGATTATTTTCACAGCTAAGGAATTATAACTGGATATTCTACTAATAATTGTGAAACTAATTTTTTCTATTGGAGAGAATTCTTCTATCCCTATCTGAAGAATACCGCTGCTGATCATGAGCATCTTACACCAACTTGTGATCCTCATATCAGAGAAAGATTATCTGATGATATCGAGTTTGTCAGCACATATTCATCTACTAGACGTTGTTTATATTACAAAGATTCCTTTGAGTATGTATTTGATTACTATAGAGAATTTAAAAAGGCCTATGCAAACGAAAATACAGTGTTTATTATGAATTTTATGGATATGCATGAAGGAACTGGCGAAGTAATAGATTATTTGGACAAACCATTGTCCAACTTCCTTAAATAAATGGAAGATGAAGATACTGGCCTTATATTATTTAGTGATCATGGATTACATATGTCTGGATTTAAACTCAAATTAGGTGGGTAAGAGGCTGATATGGAACGAGTCTTACCATTTTTAATTACATCAAATATTAGAGGATTATCTATAGAACAGGAAAATAATCTTGAATAAAACACTTAGAAGATTGTTACTCATTTTCATTTACGAAATTTTATGATGTATTGGGCATCTGGTGAAATGAATGGTGAAAAAATGAACCTCATTTCTAAACTCCCTCATAATAATGATAGATTATTATGTGATTGGATCGGAATTTAATGCATTTGTGAAAATTTCCCAAAAACTAAAAGAGATATGAAAATAGAGTGGTGAAAGCTTATTCTAAAATAGAGCAGGTTTTTTATTAGAATAATATCATATTATTTAGTAATTTTTGTCTTATTTAAAAACTTAATTTACAAAAATCAAAGAGATCTTGTTACATTTTCACTTGGGGTTTTGGGGTTTTGGGGTTTTGGGGTTTTGGGGTTTTGGGG